AATGATTGAACTAGCTTATATTCCCACCAGCAGTGTAGGAGGTTCCCCTTTCTCCGCATCCTCGCCAGCATTTGTTGTTCTTAGTCTCTTTGATGCTGACCATTCTTACTGGTGTGAGGTGATATCTCATTGTGGTTTTAATTTGCATTTCCCTGATGATTAGTGATGATGAGCATCTTTTCCTGTGTCCATTGGCCATCCATATTTCTTCTTTGGAGAACTGTCTCTTCATATCCTTGACCCATTTTTTAATCATTTTATTTGCTTATTGGGTGTTGAGACATATAAGTTCTTTATATATTTTGGATGTTAACCCCTTGTCAGATATGTAATTTACAAATGTATTCTCCCACACTGTAGGATGCCTTTTTGTTCTGTTGATGGTTTCCCTTGCTGTACAGAAGCTTTTTAGTTTGATGTAGTCCGGTGTGTTCATTTTTGCTTTTGTTTCCCTTGCTCGAGGAGATAGATTCAGGAAGAAGTTGCTCATGCTTATCTTCAGGAGATGTTTGCCTATATTGTCTTCTAAGAGTTTTATGGTTTGTTGACTTACATTCAAGTCTTTGATCCATTTCGAGTTTACTTTTGTGTATGGGGTTAAACAATAATCCAGTTTCATTCTCTTGCATGTAGCTGTATATGTGATCTATTCTTGAAAATGTTCCATGTGCACTTGTGAAGAATGTGTATTCTGTTGCTTTTGTATTGAGTGTTGTATAAATGTCCGTGAGGTCCATCTGTTCTAATACATTGTTCAGTGCCTCTGTGTCCTTACTTATTTTCTGTCTTGTTGATCTGTCCTTTGGAGTGAGTGGTGTGTTGAAGTTTCCTAAAATGAATGCATTGCATTCTATTTCCCACTTTAATTCTGTTAGTATTTGTTTCACATACATAGGTGCTCCTGTGTTAGGTGCATAGGTATTTATAATAGTTATATCCTCTTCTGGGACTGACCCCTTTATCATTATGTAATGTCCTTCTTTGTCTCGTCACTTTCTTTGTTTTGATGTCTATTTTGTCTGATACAAGTACTGCAACTCCTACTTTTTTCTCCCTATTGGATGAAATATCTTTTTCTATCCCTTCACTTTTAGTCTGTGTATGTCTGTGGGTTTGAGGTGAGCCTCTGGTGGGCAGCATATAGACGGGTCTTGATTTTTTATCCATTCAGTGACTCTATGCCTTTTGCTTTGTGTGTTCAGACCATTTACATTTAGGGTGTTTATTGATAGGTATGTACTTATTACCACTGCAGGCTTTAGATTCATGGTTTCCAAAGGTTCAAGGGTAATTCCTTTACTATCTAACAGTCTAATTTAACTCACTTAGTATGCTATTATAAACACAATCTAAAGGTTTTTTCCCCCTCTTTTTCTTCCTTCTCCATTCTTTATATATTAGGTGTCATATTCTGTACTCTTTGTCTATTCTTTGATTAACTTTGGGGATAGTTGATTTGATTTTGTGTCTGCTTAGTGGTTAATTGTTCTACTTTGCTGTGGTTTTATTTCCCCTGGTGACAGCTATTTAGCCTTAGGAATACTTCCATCTATAGCAGTCCCTCCAAAATGCCCTGTAGTGGTGGTTTGTGGGAGGTAAATTCTCTCAGCTTTCATTTACTGAAAATTGTTTAATCCTTCCTTCAAATTTAAATGATAACCTTGGCAGGTAAAGTATTCTTGGTTTGAGGTCATTCTGTTTCATTGCATTACATATATCATGCCACTCCCTTCTGGCCTATAAGGTTTCTGTCTGTTGAGAAATATGATGATAGCCTGATGGGTTTTCCTTTGTATGTGATCTTTTTTCTCCCTGTAGCTGTTTTCAGAAGTCTGTCTTTATCTTTGACCTTTGCCATTTTAATTATTATATATCTTGGTGTTGTCTTCCTTGGGTCCCTTGTGTTGGGAGATCTGTGTACCTCCATGAGCCTGAGAGACTATCTACTTGCCCAGATTGGGGAACTGTTCATCAGTTACATCCTCAATGACACTTTCTTTCCCTTTCTTTCTCTCTTCTTCTTCTGGTATCCCTATAATGTGAATATTGTTTTATTTGGGTTAGTCACACAGTTCTCTCAATATTCTTTCATTCTTAGAGATCCTTTTTTGTCTCTGTGCCTCATCTTCTTTGAATTCATCTTCTGTAATTCCTATTCCATTTACCATCTCTTCAACTACATCTAATTTGCTTTTAAATCCCTCCATTCTATGTTTCATTTCAGATATGGAATTTCTTAATGATTGTATCTCTGTCCTAAATTTGTCCCTGAGTTCTTGAATATTTTTGTGTATGTCCATAAGCATGTTTATGATTTTTATTTTGAACTCTCTTTCAGGAAGATTGGTGAGTTCAGTTTCATTTGACCTTTTTCTGGGGTTTGTGAGATTTTGGTCTGAACCAGGTTCCTTTGACAGTTCATATTTGTATGTCGCGCCCTCTAGTGTTCAGAAGATCTAGTCTCTGGAGGTGCTCAGCCACTGGAGTGAGGTCAGTGGTCACGGGGGAGTGGTGCTATTGCCTGGAGGGTGGAAAGAGCTATTTCCTGCTTCCCCACTGCAGTGCCTGTCTACACTGTTAGAGTCAGTGGGCCAAGCACACATGTGAAAGCCTGTGTAGTTGTTGTAGGCGCGGCCTCCCTCTGGCTGGCCTGACGCTAGGGCAGTGACTACCAGTTTGGGGGCCGGTGCTGGCTGGCCAGGAGGAAGGCTCAGCAGGCTATGTATCACAGTAGGGGGCCTCGGAGCTGAGTAGGCAGCCAGGGGGATGGGGTGCCTGAAGCTCCTGAAAATTCCCAACCTACTGGGCTGAGTGTGCCCAGACAACCTTGTCCACCTATCCCTTCTCCCTTGGAGTGCCATGCAAACCCCGCCGCTTCAGCAGCCCTCTCACTGCTGGGAAGCTCTCTGACCACCCACTTTTCCTTTGTCCCAGAGCAGCTGTATGTGGATCCCTGTCCTCCACAAATGGCTGGAATCTCAGTTACTCAAGTATTACACCTGTCTTAGCTTTCCAACCCCACTAATCTCCAGATCACCATGCAGTGTAGATTTGTGCTCACAAAGCAGATCTCCAGGATTGGGTTTTCAGCAGTCCTAGGCTTCCATTCACTCCCTGCTCTATTTCTCTTCCTCCCACCAGTGAGCTGGGGTAGGGGAAGGGCTTGGGTCCTGCCAGATCAAGGCTTTGGTACATTACCCTGTTTGGTGAGGTCTGCTCTGTTCCCCAGGTGTATGCAGTTTGGTGCAGCCTTCTTTCCTGTTGCTCTTTTAGGATCAGTTGCATTCACTTTTAGGATCAGTGGCAATATATTTTAATATTATACATGATTTTGGGTGTTCTCATTCTTACCTATCATGCCGCCATCTTGAATCTCCACAATAGTTAACTTTTTTTAAAGTTGGAGAAAGTAGAATATTATGGTACCATGAGTATTTAGTGACAGGGATTGAAATAAACACTATTGAAAATTAGAAAAAAACTAATTGGAAGTGTGAATTTTCTTGGATCAAAACTAGAAGGATACATTCTGTTACCATGATATTTGGAGACTGAAAATGAATAAACAAGACACAGATGAAAGGAGAGAGCAAGAATGTGTTCAGTTTGGCACTAATTAAGTCAGCCCTCAGCTCATGAAAAAATACAGTATTTCCCTATTTGAACCTCTTTGCGGTATCATCATATAATAGTTGGGAAAATAATGATATGAAGTAAATTTTGTTGACACTTTACTTGACATCGCAGCAGTCTTTGCTAAGCCTTACACATCTTGTATCAGTTAGTTCTCACAACAGCCCTATAAGGTAGGAATATTTTTTTAGTTCAACTCTAGTTGACATATTAGTGTCTGGTGTAAAAAATAGTGGCAATTATGCCCATGTACAAAATGCTCACCACAAGAAGAGGTGTTACCATGCAAAGACATTACAGGATTTGTGACTATATTCCCTATGCTGGACTTTACATCTCATGAATGATTTTATAATTGAAGTTTGTACCTTTTGATCCCTGTCACCTGTCTCACCCATCCCCCTCACTCCTCCCTTCTGGCCACCACCCATTTGTTCTCTGTTCTGATGACTCTGTTTCCACATGTGTTTGGTTTGTTTCACTTGTTAGATCCTATATATAAGTGAACTCACCTGATATGTGTTTTTCTCTGATTTTCTTCACTTAGTATAATGCCCTCTACGTTCACCAGTAGGAAGATCTTAACCTAAATTTCAAGAGTGGAGAGTGGCAGGCTCATGTAAGCCTTGCATACATGGAGTAGAAATCCTAGCAAGGATTGGTTTTCACCCATAACTTCTCCCCAAAATATTGTTTGTTTTTATCCTCTCCTTTCTTGCAGCAAACTAAGAGCCCTCTTTTCTGTTCCCTGTCCTTGTGGGAAGAATAGGGTCTGGTTTCTCTTTGATTCATTTACTTGGAGATTAGAGTCCCTCTGGCCCCCAGCTCATTTTACATCCCACATGAGGAATTTCTGAGCCCATCTTCTTTTTCTCTGGCTCTGAAACACAAGGTTCAGTTTTTGAAGTTTTGCATTATATTTAGGATAAAAATGACTTCAGTGCTGCAACATTTTCTGGTCACAGATTTAACAAAAAATTGTGCCCTAAGTTCCCCATTTTCTTTTTGCCCCTTCCCTTGCCTTCTCCTTTTGTGTCTCTCTCCCTCCTTCCCTCCCTCCCTCCTTCCTTTTTTCCCCAGAATGTTTTATGATTTCACTAGGACTGCTGATAGGAAGAACCTAGCCTATCATTCTGAAAACTGAACCCATTTAAAGACTATGGGTTTAAACTAATGAAGCTCTTCATTAGTTCTTCAAGCTGTTGGTAGTTTTAGAGCCTCTAAAGTTAATCTGAGAGCTTCTACATTGACCTCTTTGTCTTTCTAGTCACACAGCCATAGCTCAGTGGTGACATTTTTGGCTTGTGATTTACAGTGGAGATTTTCACAATCCCCTGCCTGTGAAACTCACTTCTTTGCTCACTGATTGCTTTGCATAGACCCCTTCAGGCCCAGAGCAGCTGCTCAGGGTTTATAAAAGAGGCCTTTGCCATGGGAGCTGAGCTGCAGCAGGCGGGCAGGGGCAGCAAGATGGTGTCACAGACGCAGGTCCTCACGTTCTTGTTGCTCTGGGTCACAGGTGAGAAATTCACAAGTGCAACAATCCTTTTGGAGTAAGTAATATCTTTTTAGAGTTAAAAAATTTAAAGATTTAATGAGAAATACTGGCTATTTCCAAAACAGTTCCAATATTGTATTGATTTGTAATGCTGTTAGAAAGCCTATATTTAAAATGTCATATTTCAAGTTGTGTAGCATAAAATTGTGTGTGTGTGTCATCCTTATCCATCTGTGATTGCAGGTGCCTGTGGGGACATCGTGATGACCCAGTCTCCAGCCTCCTTGGCTGTGTCTCCAGGACAGAGGGTCACCATTAACTGCAGGGCCAGTCAGAGTGTTAGCAGCTACGTAGCCTGGTACCAGCAGAAGCCTGGGCAGGCTCCAAAACTGCTCATCTACTCGGCATCCACCCGTGCATCTGGGGTCCCCGACCGGTTCAGTGGCAGTGGGTCTGGGACAGATTTCACTTTCACTATCAGCAGTGCACAGGCTGAGGATATGGCAACTTATTACTGTCAACAGCGTAATAGCTATCCTCCCACAGTGCTTCAGCCTCGAACACAAACCCCAGGGTTATGGGCCAGTGCATCCCTGCTGGGCCAGCTGTTACCTCCCCACACAGCTTTGAAATCACACACATCCCCATATCTGCCTGAGAGGTCACACCTCCTAACTTATTCCTGGCAGTTGGTAGAGCCCAGGAGAAAATTAAGCCTGTTGAATTTTACTGGGTCTCTTTTTGTAGGAGATTATTGAAGAACAATGCTCTGAAGATTTCTTAGAGATGCTGTTACGAGTTGTGTCATAGGGACTTGCATGTTTCCAATGTAAAGGTCCCATGATTGAGCCAGGAAGGTCTGACCATCCTCTCTCAAAGTGACCAGTGAATTGTACACCCTTGTGGATCAATTATCTCTTCCCTGTTCCTCCTTGACTGGCACATTTCTATTTCATTTCTTTATTCTCATGGTCTTCCTTCTTTATGTGCAGTAACCCTCCAACTCTGGTCCCAATAGCAAACCCATGACCTTGCTTATTGAAAAACTTTCACATAGCATGCAGCTTCTCTCCGCTGCGTTTCCTTTCCATGGACCCTGTTTTCCAGCCAAGCCTTTCTGGCCACTGTCACTGCAGCTGCTCTCCCACTCTGTCCCCTTTTTTACCTCCCTTTGCTCTTGGGTCCATTTCTTTCCATTGTGCTCATTCTTACAAAGGTAATTCGTGAATTCTTCAAGCCATCATTCTAGAAAGATCTGGTAGTGTTCCTCAGTATGTTTTCTCACCATTCCTCAACTTTCCCTTTAAAGCCATCTGTTGTATTTGTGTGAGAAGGTAATCATGGCTCTAAGAGTGCTATAAGTTGAATTTCTTGAATTACATGTCATTAACATGTGATAACATGCAATTGCATGTAAATAACATGTAAACCTCCATTTTGGTGTAAAAGTCATAGTCTCTAATCATTTTAGTGTTTCTTCACCTTCTGGGAAATAATGAAATTTAGCTACAGGAATGATTGCTGCAAACCTGACCAGTCTCCTCTGAACACTAGTATACATAACAGCTTCTCCCAGTAATTAGACATATAATTAAAGTATTGATTTTAAGGTATCCAAGCCATTCATTTCTTCTAGATATGATTTTTGAGTGCATGTTGTGTGTCAAGAGCACAAATACCTGCTTTCACTCCATTTGGGACAGATGGACAATACATAGCTTTGTAACTGCTACAAAGAAAAAATAAAGCCAAGGGGCAAACTTTGTTGGCTAAGAGGAGACATTTAAAATTGAATGAGAAATTATTAGCTATTGTAATGTAATAAACCATCCACAAAAGTGTAGTTGCTTAAGATGGCAGTTTTTTTTATTGCTGTCATGTTTATTGTTAGCTGGGTGGTTCTGTTAATATGGGCCAGGCTTGATTGATCTTGGGTTGCTTGTTCATGGATTTGAAGTTGGCTGACAGGTCAACTCAGTGGTAGCTGTTGTAGAAGGCTCTCGTCTCTTTCTTCTCCTTCCCAATTGTATAGCTGGTTGACCATCAGCTGGGGCTGTTTAGGTGACTGGCTTCATGTCTCTCCTCATCTGGTAGATGGCATTTAACTCCGATGGCAGTTGGCACAGTCCCGGGAGAGAGAGTAAGCACATACCACCTGCTGCAACCTAGCCTCGCAATGACCCAGTGTTCTACTGCTACATTCTAGGTCAGTGCAATAGATGTCATTGAAAAAGAAGGTAAATAGCCCCTGTCACTTGATACAGTGACTGTAAAGTGACATGGCCTAAAGCACAGGAATGGGGAGGGATAAAGATGGGGGACCTGTTTCTGCAATCCATCCATGGTCATAGGAAATTACCCTGAGAATATATGACTTAATTGATGTTTTAATGTAGAGAAGAAATGAGCCATAGGAATACTTCCAGGAAACAGAGTCCTAGTTTGAGGAAACAGCACATTTCTGAGGCAGATCTGTGATCACATGTAGAAAAAGAAGGAAGGCAATGTTGCTAAAATGGAGCGTGCAAGGGGGACAGCAGGGGAAGTAGATCAAAGGCCATGCTGTGTAGGATGCTGTGGGCCTCTCCGAGGACTGGGATTTTGTTTGAAGGATGTGGTCAGTGGGAGAGCTCTGAATAGGGAAGAGGGAGCAGGAGGTCTGGCCCTGAGGGGACTCTCCACCTGGGGACTTTGTCTTACCTGGACACAGGAGCAGGGGGCCAGGATCTGGGATGGTGGTACCACTTCCTGCCTCTCACCTTCCCAGGGGCCCAGACCCTGTGTCTATAAGAGACCCATTTGTCTGCTTCTGACTACAAGTCTGACCATGTGTGAAAGTGGGGAGGTTGCTGCAAATCCCCAGGAGGATGAAGCGGGGCCGGTGAAGTCGGGTTGTGGTCACACCTGGTGATGCTTTGGCGGGAGCCCTGGGCGCCTGTCCTGCCCAGAGTAGCCCCTGAAGATGTGCCTGGGGTCACAGATGTGGTGGCTGTGACCCCCCATGGCATGTAGACAGACGTCTGGTCCTGAGGGGTTCACTCCTGTGCGTATAATCCCCAGAGAGCCCGGGCCCCTGTGAGGTACAGGCAGCTCTCCTGTGAGGACCCAGAGCAGTTCTGGGAGGCTCAGGCCGGCCGAGGGTCCCTGCGCCTGTGCAAGGTGGGGCCCTTCATCCCAGATCCTCCTTTCCACAGGGATGTGTCAGAAGGTGTATGGCTGTGACCCAGGAGCAGGAGAACACAGGACGTTTTCTTCTAAATTTATCCTCAGTGGATTTTGCCCTTGGTTGTTCAGGTGTTCATTAAACAAGCCTGTTCATGAGACAGATTCAGAAAAAAGTTTTTATTCTCCACCATGGTGCCCATTTGGCCCTGAGGGGCCATTTCTCCTGCCCTTTGGATGAAATCTCAGGCAAATCCCTTATCCTTTCTAGTAATTCTTAAATAATAGTGTCACGTGGACATTTCTTGTCGCAGTTGGTTTCCCTGGGTGCCTGGCAATGCGGGCCCTCTGAGGGGGTGAGCACCTCACTGTCTTCCCTCCCCCACCTGCAGTCCACAGAGAGCTGTTGCCTGAGGAGGGAGAAGAGTTGGGTGGCACCAGCTCTCCATCCCTGGCTGGATCCCAGTATATCTGGCTTTTCCAGGTGTGAGGAGAGCTGTCACCCCTCCCTGTGCTGGAGTTGCTCCCTCGTCCAGGTTTGCACCTCTCAGGGCTGCACCCTCACCTCCCAGAGCAGCACCTCAGCCCAGCCTCACCTTCAGTTTCCTTGGGCAGGAAGCAGATGTCCAGCCCTGAATGCGCCCCCACCCTTATGGAGAGACATCATTCTCTCCGAGGCATCCAGGAGGGGGAGGGTAGGACTCAATAAAAGTTCCTCAAAGGGCTTTTTCCAATTTCTATTTGTTGACCACCTTAGTGGTGATTCTTTGTAAAAGAGTCAGTGTCAAAAAGTAATTTTCAGAAAAAGTGGGAGCATCTCTCATCTTGGAAACTTTTCTAGAAACAGGGCTGAGATGGTCCCAGTGTCCTGTCCCATGCCAGGTGCCAGGAGGAGTGCACTCAGTTTGGGGCCCGTGTGACAGCAGACCTTGAGTCGGTCTCACTCTCAGGTCCGTGGAGAAGGGATATCTTGGGAACAGGAATTTGGTTCCTGATGGGAGGCAGCCCTGGAGGTGAGGCTGTGCTGTCACCTTCTCTGCAGAGGAGACAGTGACCTCTGCCCCTCCGAGCCCAGGGATGACCCTCTCCCACCTCCCTCCTCCCTCTTTTAGCTCCACTCACCAGCCCCTCCACATCTACCTCAAATGCATTGCATCTGCATCATGTCCTCAGGTACACTGGCATCTGCCTCCTGACTTTCCTCTGCCTGTGTTTGTGAAGATGCCACCTGAACCACAAGGGAAATCAACCCTCTGGACCTGTGATCTCAGTTTATCTAGATCTTGTCTTTTAATTTTTTAAATTTTTAAATTTTTTCTTTTGGTATCATTAATCTCCAATTACATGAAGAACATTATGTTTATTAGGCTTCCCCCTTCACCAAGTCCCCCCCCATGTACCCTTTCACAGTCACTGTCCATCAGCATAGTAAGATGCTGTAAAATCACTACTTGTCTTCTCTGTGTTGCACAGCCCTCCCT